AGATAGACAGACAGACAGACAGACAGACAGACAGACAGACAGACAGACAGACAGACAGATCGCTCAAACATGAGTGGAAGCTGGATTTATGTCACTATTTGAAATAAGCATTTATTTTTATTTTTTGCATCTTCAACTAGTGTTGATTCCTGTATGTTACCATGTGCTTTGTCACTGGCTTCTTCCTAGGGCTGAGAAAAAGTCACCCAGCTGGTTTCGCACCTAAAGCGGGACTAGAACTCAAAGTTTCCCCATTTCTAGCCTGACGCCTTAACCACTATCCCAAACTGGCTCTCTTAAATATTACTTAGTTTGAAGTAATTGAAGGGAAGTATTCCAAACTAGAGGAATAAATAAATAAATGCATAAAATAACTGTAAACTAAACATGGATCCCACATTCACTCTTTGCCATCTTCAACTAAAACTAAAAGAGAATAAGGGAGTTGAAATCTTGGAGAAGGGAAAACTATGGCTAGACAGAACCAATAATCTGATCCATATAAAAGAGTTCCTGTATTCCAAAACTCAGAGCATTCAAATTTCTTTTTCTTTTAATACAACTGTACACTTTTCCAAACAGAACACACAAACAAGAAGCTTAATAAAACATGAAACCTAGAGAGCACAAATCATTAAACAGAAAATTGCATGCATTCCTGTGGACTACTCTTGTCCCACCCCCAATTTTTAAATATGATATACGTACATTGGTATGACAGGTTTAAGAAAACAAATATTCCCTGTAACTAGTAAGATGGTTACTGATTTAGACAGAAGGAAAGGGAAACATGTAAAGAATTTTCTTTAGATGTTTTCCATATAGGATTTCTTCAGTTCCTGGCAATCAAATCAGTCATAGATTTTTACATAATAAAAGGAATCTGTGGAACTAGTCCTAGAAACCTCTTTCTGTTTTCCTGCATAACACCTCCAGGCACAGAAGAGACAAAATGCTTCATTTGCATCCTTAAACATTAGAAACTGAGAATGAACCTTTTCAACTGCAAATGTTATTCCATCTACATTTCCAGAAAGGCGGAAGGGGGGAAGGTTACAGAGTCTACTCAGGTTTATGTTAACTCATCTCTTTTTAGTATTACTGATCAATACAAAGAGAAGGCAGAGGCAGCAGAGCCTTAAGGACTTCAACTTTTTTCTCCATAAAGAAAAAGGGAGAAAGAGATAGAGGGAACATGAAAGATGACAGACAGAAGAAAGGGGGGAAAGCCAAGGGAAAAACAGCAAACATTAACCATGACAATACTCAATTTTTCTACTCTTCTAACATTTTGTCAAGTTTTGCTTGTGTAAAATGAAAAACAGCATTAAAGATTAGACCAGACCAAAATAAAAGCATTTGTGAGAATAAAGAAAAACATAGCATAACATGAAACCTGAAGCCTAGCTGCATAAAAATGACACAGAACAACCTCATGGCTATTCCAGGGACAATTTTTGTTGCCTGCTACAATCAAATTAAAATGCTACAATCAAATTCACTACACTGGAGTCTCTTGGAATAGCTTGCTAGTTCAGTAACATCAAAGAAATTTTAGGAATTGGTTCAATCACAAAATTATGATGTCTCCTACAGATTAAGTTCAACTCTTGGTGACTTCAACCCATGCAATTTTATTGACAACAGTAGCATGGAAGTAGTCCTATGACATAGCACTTACTTTTATAATTGACTGCTCATTGATTTTGATGGTGCCCAATTCCAGACCAACTCTAGGTGGCTCACAATATGACAAAAGAAGATTTTTTAAAAAGCAGCAACCATGCACAATAAATAATGAACAAGATGGGCAGTCCAGCCAAACACCATCAACAAAACAAACACAACCTCAAGGGGGTCCATCCACCCTAACACAAAGCCTGGGGAAACAACCAAGTCTTCATGGCCTTCCAGAACACCATCAAGATGGGAGCCATACAGATCTCGGGGGGAATCTCGTTCTAGAGAGCAGGCACCATGACAAAGAAGATGTGCTTCCTAGGTCCTGATAGGTGACATTGTTTAATCAAAGGGACTCAGAGCATTCCCACTCTGTTGGCTCATACTGGCCAGGCAGAAACCATGGGAGATAGGCAGTCCTTCAAATAACCTGGCTCTATGCCATGTATGGCTTTATAGATGATAGCCAGCACCTGGAATCACATCCAAAAGTCCGCTCACAACCAGTGAAGCTTGAGAAGCTGGGGGGTCACTGGGCAAACTGAGGCAAACCAACCACTGCCTGCGTCTCTGCATTCTGGACCAGTTGAAGCTTCTGAGCGGTTTTCAAGGGCAGCCCAATGTAGAGCATAATGCAATAGTCACGTCACGAAGTGACAAGGGCATGAATGACTTATTGAGCACTAATGTATCAAGAAACAAAGAAACAGAGGCAATTGAGACAAGTTCCAATTATCCTTTAGCTGAATGAATAGCAACATTTTCTATTCCATAAGAAATTATTTGTCCATTCAACAAATACTTTGTGCTAGAAGAGCCAGAGTTTCTTATCTCCAAGATAATTTATTTTTTAATTTGAGAAAACTCACACTCAAACAGCTCAACATTTACAACATAGATAGGGAACTGATGACCCAAGGCTTAATCCAGCCAATCAAATCAGCCAAACTAACCCTCTATATTTGCAAAGTCTTTCCCCCATCTCTGGCAATCTGTTGTAAGAGTAGTGCTGATTGGCTTTGCTTGCTTACAAGAATAGTATCAAAACAAAATTCACATTACAATTTTGGTTGGTTCACATGTAATGCTAAATGTGCCATGGACAAACATTATGAGCTGGCCTGAAGTACACATGTGCAGAGAGCTTTTAGCAGAAAGCCATATACCTGTGGCATGTGGCTATACTCCCCCAAAAAGTGGGTCTAAACACTTTTGATTTGATTTACCTAAGATGGTCTGCTCTCAGCAAGCTGAGGATGTACCTGGAGATACTATATGTCTTTATTTATTTATTATGGAAAACATCCAGAGACACTGTAT